TAATTATTATACTACTTAAATTCTATGTTTTATTTTCACGTCAACCCTTTGAAAATAAAAATTATTAAATCCATAAATCATCATTAATCAATATTATGAAGAACGCATTAGGTAGGACCGTATAAAGGGACAATGAATAGGGGAGCAAACATAAGTATGACTCCCTTCATTCAGTATATGCCATTTTTTCCAAATAAATGATAAAACACATTTTTTTTTCCTTCCAATCGAATATTACATAACCTCTCCGTATATGTATAAAAATGGTTTTTTTGTTCCGACTGACTGACTGATTGACTAAAATTCAACGCACAGATTAAATACATGGGGTTAGAAATTTGAAATTTTGATAATATAGGTACCATTTATACTGTAGGCATCTAGTAAGAAAAGATTTTTGAAAAAAACTCCCCTGAGGAGAGAAGTAAAATAGGGTAAATTTGCATCCCCTATTTCACCTATTTATTTGTTTTTTTGCCTGGAACCAACTGCTCCATTTGCCTCCTAGGCAGTAGATATTCTGAACTATTTTGGACGTAATTAGACATAGTGAATAATATGTGTACGATAGGTTATACTGTTTTAGGTTTGTTTCTCAATTGTTTCAATGGTTAATTTTGTATGAAGTTCCGTAGCTTAATATACAAAAAACGAAACCCTTATTATTTCGTCATCTATTTACGTCCATCTTTTGCAGGCTTTTTAGGTTCTTTAGAATTATCATTAAAAGTAACACCTAAAATTTTACTCCCGCAAGCCTTACAATTATTTATACTTATAGATATACTGAATATGCTGTCAATTAGACACAACACGTTATTTTTTTGATTTTAAGAAAATAAAATCACTCAAATTAAACGAGAACTTCGTATTTGGGTTCATGCATTGGCGATTCTTACACCATGTACGGTTCGGATTTCAATATTCGTAAAAACCTGGGTTCCAGATTCGTATATTCTGATTATATACAATTATATTCCCGGTATATCATACGGTTACCCGTATGTTTATTCACTATCTGAAATAATACTTTACATTCAATCGAAATATTATCTCGAGATATAATATTACTGGAACGAGGCAGATGGAGAAAACGAAAATACGAGATGTTAGCCCCTCAAGGGTTACCGACGTCGATGTTCTGATCGGGACATGAATTCAGAAGTCGTTATCGAGGCGTCGTCATAGGTACTCATTTGATTGTACGTATAAAAATAGAATTCTCGGAATGGAAGTTTTCGACGATACAGGACATGAACTTTGAGAGGCTCCGAGAGATCGGGTGCGGAATTCATTCAGTGGATACCTAATCATCATATAATAATAACACGGAAATAAGACCGTTGAAACTAATATTAGACGCCATCTCGTGGTTGTATTTTTGTCGTCTCACAGAAATACACAAATTTGTTTAAAGATATAGATTTCTATAATTATTTAAGCCAAAGTTATTTTTCATAACATCGTGTTTCAATAAATTTTAACATCTTTTTGATAGTTTTAAACAAAACTATTTCATTTTTTGTTTCTTTAGAACAATTCAATTTTTGCTTGTTACATCGCTTGAACTTTTTTTTTATTATACAATTCTAAACCGTAAGTGTATCTTAAGGATGCTGTTTCAGCACGGTTTCGGACAAGATGTCTGTACAAAAGTAACACGTAGTTCGGCCTCAGATCTATCGTCATTATAACCATGTCGGGTTTTTTTTTTTTTACGACTAACCTAACCGCAGATACAGAGTATGAACTTTACGAGGATAGACAAAAAGTATAATATATAATGAAATTGTGAACTGCGGAAATACCGAAATCAATAAGTCAGCTGTCAGCCTGTTATTTTATACTACGAACATTTCACAGTGTAGTTGTTAGGTAGGTAGTTATTTTATTTTTTCCAAGAAAAATAAAATGTATAGCAACAATGGTATTTTCATAAAAAAAAAAAAAAAAATACATATATTCTTCGTCTTCTTAAAACACTATATATTAGAAATACGGTTTATAAAAAACATCGCATACCAGTTGTTGTTCATATATTATACGAATACAAATTTAACTTCAACATACTTTTCTGTTGGGAAAAATAACAAGCGTATCGTTGATTCGGTAGGTACCTAGGTACGCAAAATATTTCGATATCCGGGACATATATAAAAAAAAAATAGAAATTGCGTACATACTTACTCGCTCTACTAATGTAGTGGTTCTCTCTTAAACTATTAAAATATGAGCGCAATATAATATTACCACCATCCGTTACCTACTTTGCGAAACAAACAAAAACGTATACATATTTATTATGCATACATTTCTGTGCGGTTTTAATCAAAGTTCTCGGCTCCGTGACCGCGACCAGTGCAGGTAACTATAATACATTCTACCCAAGTATAGAACAGTATTTTGGTTTTTGGTTTCTACAAATTAATATTGAGTTGAACACGTTCATCGGATGCCTTTCCTAGAAATTACGATACTTTCGGCTAGTAAAAAGACTCTGGATTATTTATACGTGCCATAAAAAAATACGGATTTTTTGACCGGTGGTACATTATTAGAAAATATTTTCTAGATTCTTAACAGTTTTTCTAAACAATAAAAAAAAATCTGATAACATATGACCATATATTGAGCTTGTTGATTTCTGGGTTACGTATTCACTTCAGTACGCATTCTTGAAATTCCATCGAGGTTTGAAGATATAGAGTATACAATAATAAGTTTTTTTTTTTTGGTATTTGTAGCTTGCTGTGGCTCTCTCTGTATATCTGTATGTGTTAGTGAACGCTGATAACTTATGTGAACGAAGCAACTCACAAACGTTACAAATATCACTAATAATGAGTTAATATGCAGCAGACCCAGTAAAATAGACCATAAAAAAGGAAAAACTACGACTGATGCTATAACTTTAACAGTTAGCTTGGTAACTCCAATCAGAACCGTATTTTGATTGCAATGTTTTATCATAACTATTAGAATATAACTAAATTGCGTAAATATCCAAGGTCTTTCAAATTTCCTACTACTATGATTTTTTTTATTTAGATTTTAATTTTCCAGGAATATTGTGTATTATTCTTACTATCCAAACATTATGACAAATACTATATATTATGTACTCCGAAACTTCCGGTCGAAAATCCGGGAGAGAAACTTTTGTAATCGTCTGCCCGTACAACCTGCAGTCATTTGCTATTAGAAAACTTTTAGGTACCTAACAAATGACCGAGGTCGCGTTTTAAAGGTTAGACGAACGATTTTTGATTCGAATACGGCGAACGTGCGGTTATGACGTACTTCGTATAAATTGATAATGTTGTGGTTTATTGTTTAACCGTCGGTTATTGAAGTTAACATGTACCTATAGTTTACTATATCGGTGGAAAACGATGCGGATTTTATAAATGTTTCGAATATAAAGCTAGGTAGCAATGAAGAGTATGAGGAACTCAAGATGACAATTTTCTAACAGAGGAAAAAATGTGCAACAAAAATCAATACAAATAAGGTCTCTATTGTTAATATTTTAACGAACTCGGATCGTAATTTATTATTTTTGTTGCAAATTATAATATTATCGATAAGTTTAATCTTTGACTTTCGTCTATCTATCTACTTGTGATTGATGTGATATATCAACATTGTACCGAAACGTTAAAAAAGATGACCAAGTGAAATAATAATATTATTATGTTTGATTAATAGAAAAAAGGTCGTTGGTTATGTCGGGTAAAAAATTGAATAGACGCAAATAAAAGAATAAAAGAAATAACAACGATCATAATGGATGATATAATATTAAATAAATTGTACATAATTCAATACTTGCATTCATTTTGTCGAGATAAATGTTGTACTATCAGAACGTTAATGTTGTAACTCAAAACTGCTTATGGGTAGGCCACTGTTGTTGGTGGGAAGTTGAGAAAAGTATGGTATTATATATGACTGGATAAAACATACTTATATATATATATAGAGAGAGTGTAATTTAATTTTAATCTGAACTCAACGATAAATTATTGCGAACGAAGTACAGTTCTGAGCTTATTTCGGTTAAATATGTTTTGACATACAAAAATTGTATGTCAAAATTTTAACCTAAAATTCTTATAAAGAAGAAAAAGACTACATTACACTTAACTTTTATTTTACCATTAACATTAAATTGTCAAATATTTGTTCTCTGTTAAAATAATTTTATCCACACAAAACCAAATAAAGGCTAAACAAAACTCGAAAATATCAAATGCCTAAAAATTACAAAAAAAAAAAAATGAGAAATAATTAGTTGAAATTATTTTACCACGTCCTAAAAATACCAATATCAGTATTCTATAAAAATTGTAGGTTTCTATAAATATTTTAAATCAAATTATATTAAAAAAAAAAAAAAATCGAAACCATAATAGCTATATAAACTTCCTTGTTCTTTCATAATCACTAAAAGCTGCTTGGAAAATAATGACCTTATCAATGCACTAATTAGAACCAAAATTCTGCAAACAAATCTATCTTGTCATTTTTTGATTGGATAAAGATTTATGGTAAAAAGTTCGGTCTGCAAAAGTTCTTTGCAAATCAAAAATGATTATAATATAGTAGAACCAATACATTGCTCCCTGTGTTCAGAATCTAAAAGATAATAAGCAAACCGTAGCAAAACCAATAAGTACATTACTCGCTATACATTCTGAATTGAAATTGCTCTCCCAACGGAATATTATAATAAATTATATATAATTAAGAATATATCAAATCTGTAAAAATATATTCGGATCCGAATGTGTTATTTCGCGTACCTATAGATAAACGTGAATGCGTTCGTGCGCATTCAAATTATCGACGATATGTTGTAATATGTAGACGGATAACTTATACCATACTTACTAGAAAGTAAACATTTTAAATACGATTTTCGGGTTTGGGTAAGTAAATATATATTCGGCTACCGTCAAGTATGTACACATAATATGCAACGGGGTCCGTATTATTGAATAATTTATCGAATTTGCTCCGTATCTGATCTGTATTAGAATAATAGAATGCTTTATAGGTATACGCGCGTTCGTGAAAAATGTGAAAAAGGTTATCTAAACTCGTATATATTATCATGTCGTCTCGTATAATTTATTACGCCCGTAGGTAGTAAATAATTGCGTATAGTCGACTTGAAATCACAGCCAGACTTTCAGAAACCGAATAACACACCATCAAGAATAAGAAAAATCGTCATGAAAATAATATACTCATACATTATACAATAAAAATAATTGTACTATACAAAATATGTTAACACAAGTTTGTCTGCTGATTATATCAAATTATTATAATTTTTTTTTTTTTAAGGGGGGAATGTGTCAAAAATACAAATTATTATGGATTTATAAATTAACTATATTGCATTACAGGTAGTTTGAAAAAACAAAAACAAAAAATCGCATAAAACGAGAGTTCTTATAAACATTATTGTTTCTGGTTATCGGTTATCCGAAGAAATATCAAAATTGAATCCATTATGCAGGTTATTCTATCGTTATATTATTATACTTAACCGAGTAGAAATAAGTGTAGAATAACCACGTAGTGTTTAAGATTATTTTTTTTTAATAATATAAACGAATGGCGGATAAAATAAAATATTTTTACACAATTAATGTTTGTGTTATATTATGTATATTGTATATAGATAATAAAAAATAATGTTTGAACCGAAGACGGAAAAAAGTAATAATGTTACTAATGATAATAATAGAAAGTGATATTGCTCGAAAAAAGACGTGGCTAATAATAACTGTCACTATCAGATAACATTTTACGAAAGGGGAAAAATAAAACGTATATTTTTATTTATTTTTTTTTTTCATTTGTAACTACGGTCTTCGACATATATAATGAATAACGGAATCATAACTTTTTCACGTTACGGCGAGAAATCATTTTTAGATTACATAAATACGAACCCTTCCCAAAACCTTGACATTGTTAGATGGCACATAACGAAAACGGAAATAATTTATTAAATTCTTTAGACCTGATAAATTGTAGTCGGGAGAGTATTATTCGAATCTTAAGATAGAAAGTCTGTGAACAACAAAGACAAAATTAAATTAATATTATCAAATGCATTAGGTGCTCTTAATTTTGTTACACTAGAGGTTTTACATGGGTAAAGGGAGCGATGAATAGATTGTCCCGCCTACTATTGGCCTATATATATGTATGTTAAATACGTAATCATCATTCATCAAGAGCACATTTATTATTAAATACTAATTATTTCATTCAACCATAATATTATTATTTTATTAAAACTAAATCAAGTTCCAAACTATACCAATCATCATGATTGTAAATCAGTTATAATATTATCATTGCGGTACCCCAAAAATACCTATAGCCTATCAATGGAAAAATAACGATTTCCTTCTTTATGGACTTGCAGCAATGAACCGGCCATATTTGTTTCACTATTTATAATATTATCATGACGTCAATTATAATAATTACCTAATAGTAATTACCTATTAACTATACTTCTGCGTTTGAATAGGTACCTACGAAAAACCGGAAAGATACGTTTACGGAAATTGACCAAAAAATGTACGCCTCTAAGTATTTTAATACCCACCTTACCTACTATAATGTTAATATCTACGTTCAAAAGATTCACATCTTTAGAAAAAGAAAAACGAATATAACACTAAAGTTGAGCTGATACGATAAAGGATACGATCATTCTCCACGCATTGCTTACTTACAACATGGTGCAGCGTACCAATATTGTATTATTTATATAATATAAATTCGGGACAATCTTAAGATAAATCGTCGCATTTTGAAAGTGTTTCAGAGCTATACGATGTAGCGTGAATATTTAACGCAAGCAAAGATTTCGAAATTTATTAAAATTGCATTCATAAATATTATTTATAGGAGTGACTCTCTATTAAAGTATAGTTACTATACCTAGATAGAAATATTCCAAATCAAATATTTTGAGTTTTGTTTACTTTTTATGCGTTTTGAAGATATTATTTTCAAACGTTTTCCTACGTATTTTTACATGTTTAATGGAAAAAATGCGAGAAAGATTTTTGAGATGCAAACATTATTGTACATAATACAGGATGTTTCACCATGTTCGACGGATTTTAGAGCTGTTAATGTTCAATTTTTTTTAATCTGTTTTTCTATAAAAGATATATATATATATATATATATACCTATAAAGAAAAAACAATTAAATTTTTATTTTTATCCTTTAATCAATAAAAAAAATGAATTTTTTTTATAACATTTTCAAAATAGACATTTTGTAGAATATATCATTCTAAAGATTTTAATGCATCATACATTTACATATTCTGATCAATAATTTCTTAATTTAAACAGCTTTCTAATTTATAGAACTAACGTATAGAAAACGAGATTACCCCATAATATAATAGGGAATAACTTTGTTTATATTGAAAATATTAAAAATTAAGACGGCTGTTACCAAAACACAACGTAGATCGGATATAAATATTGAATACATTGAAGTATTTAGAATTATAATGTCTTTTACAAAATGTGTTACTTTGAAAATTTAGTAAAGTAAATAAATAAAGTTATATTTTAACGATTACTTAAGGGATGAAAATAAAAATCAAATGTTTTTTAATTAGACGTCTCACTCAAAAAAATCAGATTTAAAAAAAAAAAATTAAAATTGAATATGAATACCTCTAATAAAATCTGTCAAATAGTTCAAATTTTAAATCATTGAGGTATTATACCTGCATAAATTTAAAAAAAAATTAATTGGTAATAATAATTAATAATTATCAAAAATACCGGTGGAAATAGAAATTTCAATTTTGACAAAATAATAATTATAATACAATTTAATTTAAAAATGTATTGTGTTATTATGCTAAACTCGTTGATTTTTTTTTTTTTTTGCGATTTAATGATAATAATCTTTCAAAAACGTTATTATATAAATTTAATGAAAATTGAAAAAAACAAAATTTTAAATGTAAATTTATATACCTAACACTGTTGTTAAATTGTTTATATATATATATACATGAATACTTAGATAACTACTAACACTTAGACTTCTACTTACTATTTACACTGAATTAACATTTAATAACATACTTCAATATTTTCCGCGCTTTATTATTTTAAACGTTCAAAATATTTAATTTCTTAAAGCATAGGGCTTGGATAGACGTAGGGCTACAAATTTCTGTCAAAAACCCCCAGTTCAAAAGTTTATACTTGGTACTAAGAACATATTACATAAAAAAAATACAATTATAATTTTTGCGACACATTATTATTTTTTAGATTCTGAGTAAGCATTTTATTACAACACAAATACAATTTTTAATGTCTATATAATTCTAATTGGACTACCATAATAGTTTAATTAACCACAATTTATTTGTGATTGCCTGGGACCAACTTTGGTGGCGATGGGGCGCACTCTTGTGGTGTCAATAATTACCATGTAATTACGAAATTTCAATATTGGAATCACAGTTCACAGATATGTATAATATATTACATTATCATACATATGTATGATTGAAATATAGTAATATTTGGATTTGTAAAATTAAAAAAAAAATTGGTGACTAGGAATATGTCTAGGGCCTCTGAATCCATTCCTAATTTTCAGCGGAGCGATGTTAATTTTTTTTTCTATGTACAACTTCTCTCTACCAGAAGTTTCGCTTCAAATTGCATGTGTAGAATATTTTCTAAGAGAAAATTTGATTAGGGCGGTACTTATTATTATACTATTAGGTAATAAATGTGAAAAAGATAGAAAAACCGGGAAAATGTATGAAATATATTACTTTCAAATCATAAATGTTACGGGCTTTCATTATATGAATAACTGAACTCCGCTTAGAATCGTTTTTTGTTAGTAATGATTAATTGTTGATATGGACACAGATATACATTGAATGTCTAACTTCTCAACTTCCCAACAACATATCACCTACAACCCACCCAAAAAAAAATTATGGCCCACCAATAGTGCGAAGTATGTCCGTTATTTTGTTTTTTTTTTGTTTATGTTTTTAGGTTATCAAAATTACATTTATATATTATTATTGTTCACTTTATACGTTTAATACGAGTATGGATACCTGGAATCGATATTTGTTCGTAATATTGTATTGTGACGATTTCAAATCAAATCGCCTCAATAATATAGAATACACTTATATTGAGTATAATAATAATAAATCGAAAAATAATATGCACTAATATTGTTGAGAATGTAGAAGCATATTATTATGTTATAGGCATAATACTGTGAAACTCACTATCGTCGCGCGGCAAGTACACATCAAATGCATACACACAATCCAATTCATATATATTGGTAAAACGTATTTGTTACTACCTATACGAGGGGCTTTATTCCGATTACGTTCTAGAAGTGTTTTGGCGGTTTTTCAAATATGTTTCAATATCTACTATACGTGCGTACTCGTATAATATAATCACGTTCGAGAGCTACGGGTTTTGGGATTTCCAGAATATGACGAAGCGATTAACGATTTTTTTTTTTCATGCATTTAAAATTACGGCTGAGCGTAGAGTACTCTATATAATAATATTTTGGTTTTAGTATAAACCTATATTATTATTATTATGAATTTCGAGTTTATCGTGATATTTGCATTTTCATTTTATCTGTATACCGTATAGCGCAGTAGAATCAAACACAAACGGGAAAAATTTAGTTAATTGAGTTTTTCCGCAGTACTTGGTATACCTACGCAAATATTTCACGGTAAAAACTGAAGAAAATATCACTCTCAAATTTTGTAGTAAGATGTCTGATAAAAATTTACCAAACATGTATCTTGCTTCTTGATGTTTTCTCCTACATATTTGTATGGGTCTCTGTTTACAACTGACGATGAGAGCGTGACATGTAAGACTGGAGATCGCATAATAATAATAACAATAATAATATACCTTTCATGCCCATAACATATATATGTTTAAAACTTGAAATAATACAAGCAAGAACATAAATTCAGGTTTTGAATTGTTATTCGAAAACGATGAACGGCACCTTAAATAATATTTACCTAATATAATATTTTCATGTTCTCTGCAGTACCTTCATTTAGTAAACTGTGTCGAGGTGAATACGAAAGCGCGACCAATTAGTGACAACGGTATATCACTGTAGCTCTTTATATGAAATATGTGCAAGTGTATTAATTTTTAATGCAATTTCGTAAGACCCTTCTATAGTAAAATAATAACTGACAACGTTGCGAATACTGATTTTAAAATATATACTTCGCACGATGGGTGGGCTACTATTGTAAGTGAAAAGTTGAGAAGATAGGATACACAGGGAAATTTAATGTTTGTCTGTACTCAACGATTAATCTTTGCTAATGAGAAACGATCTGAGTGGAGTTCGGTTACTCATATTTTAAAAGACTGTAATATTTACGATTTGAAAATAACACTTTTCGTAAATTGTCTCGTTTTTTCTACGTATTGTTCCAGTTTTTCCCATTTATTATAAAATCTCCTTAAAAGTTATCACCCTAAAATACCGCCCCTGTCAAATTTCCTTTCAGAAAAAGTGCTACACTTAATAATCAGAGCAAAATTTATCTAAAAAAAATTGGTAAAAAAGTTGTTCATAGATAAAAAAAAAATAAACATCATTGTATAACCAATACATTCCTCACTCCGTTCAGAATCTCAAATGTCTTTAAAATAAAAACAATTTTGAGAATTCAAAAGTGGCACTAGTCGTAACATTACTGTAGTATAGGCTCTGTATAGTATACACGTCACTTGTATAATAAACTTAAATTGTAGGTACAATAAAAATATTATTGATCGTAAAATAAAATGATATTTAATTCGTACTTACTCTATTCTTCTCAAATTTGACCTTAAAGACCACACTGAAAAAAATAAAATTCACTTCACCGTACTCAAATTTACAGGATTAGCAAACTGAACCAAAATAATCATTGCCTTATTGGCGACTCTTGTTTTCAGGACACGAATGTCTTGCCAGTTGTTTTATTTCATTTATTTCATGTATCATACCTAGGTAATTGTACAAGGTAGACTCTGATACCTATTTTTTGTAGTTATTTTTTCAAATACGAGTTTAATAATAGACACCTAATAATAATAGTGATAGGGAATAATAGGGATGACAATTTACTAGCTCTTTACAGTATAAATATTATTATCGTTTTTTTCGGTTTTATCACAATTAACTACTAATTGTACAAAAATAAAAATAAACTCTATGTAAAATGGGCTTGTTCCGTATTAAATACAAATAAATAAATAATATGTTAATATTATTAGCAGTTTAATTTGTTGTCGTTTTTCGAATTTTAAGTAAATATTTGTTGTAATCAAATTAATTGCCCGATACGCAAAAGGATAGGGAATTTTCTGTAGTAAAACATTTTATTATAAATTGATATTACGCTATATAACAATGTGCAGTATATTATTATATATTAAGTTTTCAGGAAGCTGTTGAAGTTTGTACGTGGAAATTAAATGTAAAATTATATTTCTAAATGAATATACAACGCGACGGTTTGTTTTAAAACAAAAGTTTATGAAATATTACAATTATTATACACAATATAATATCCGTGCAAATTCACGTAGGGCTACCTGCGGAGTATTATACAAAATAAGGAACAAAGTGTAAAAAAAGTTTTAAATCGTCCGGTTTACTTGCAGACAATATTATTATATTATTAATATTGCAAATACATATTTTATATACGTTAGCTACTGTTGCCTGAGGTAATTAAGTATTGACAAATTCCGTTTAATATACCGGAGGTGAAAAAAGGATTTCGATTGAGTTCGTAACCCTTTCAAATAATTAAAAATAAATATAATACCTGGACAAACTGAATTAAACAATAATCTGCAAAATCGACTAATCGATTGGAAAAAATGGATTTTTTATTCATTTCTATATAATATAATATAAATGTGTCTTTTTTTTTATTTCGATTTATTATTACGAGATTTTTTTTGTTTTTCGTCACTTATTATAATATTATTATCATAAATTTTTTTTTTTTTTTTTTTAAACTATTTTCGCCACCAAAGTCTCGTCCTAATTAATAGAGATCCTTGAGCAGTGATGAAGGTGACGACAACCGTAATTGGTAACTGTCAACAGAATTTCCTTCACAAATTCCGCAATTATGAGCTCGGGCCACTTTTGCGCGTCAAACGTGTAGCAATTAACACGGAAAAGTCGTCCAATTAGGCTCTTCGGTCCGTCTTCTTATCGGCAAAACCGTAAAACCACAATTTATGAATCATAATATTTTACGAATTACAAGTTTGCCAACCGTGAAACTTACGAGACTTATGAGACTCCTCATCTCTGACCGAGGACTTAATATTATGTATAATATTTAGATTACTCTGTGATTTCTGTTTACGTAGATCTACAGCAGATTTGTACTAAGGGAGGAGATCCTCGGGTGCCGAGCACCCTTAACAAATCATTGGTCCTTAATTGTAGGGACTTTCGTAAAATAATTTTACATGGATTATCTCAAAATATCGGAATCATGGCTTAATGTTAGCCCAACTACAATTGAAAATGTGTTAGTAAACACTCTTCTTACCTTATTTTACTGAATTGATTTACCTACAGTAAAATGTCTTGGAAACTTGAATGAGTGATTGAAAATTGTAATTTACCTGAACCATAAGAAGCACTGAAGCAGGTAAATAACAAAACATAAGCAAAATAAATAAAAACATTATATATTTGAAATATTTATTTAAAAAGAGATTCGACCTCACCATGCGGAACATCTATACAATTTTTATAAATTGATGACCAAAAATCTATAGCATTTCTGTAGAAAATATGCTAGTTATGCGTGTCTATAGGTAAATATTAATATTAAATGCAGGCTATCTGAATATATTGTTTATTCAATATGGTTATATACAGAGCTGATTTGCAAGGCACAGGGAAAAATTTAAAATACTGTAATTTTCTATTAAGTATATAATTACAAATTTTTTTTTTTTTTTTAACGTGTGGTCCTAGATTTAAGTACAAGACCTGAAGCTCCAAATCTGAGCCCTGCATACCCCCTAAAATACGGCCTAAGGAGAATATAGATACACTCATGGATTATTAATTTTTTCGGTGACCTGGAAGCACATATATTATAATCTTTTTCTCCAAATTCAATCCTTAAATAGGACTCACACAAGAATTCACTGTAATTTTCTATTAAGTATATAATTACAAATTTTTTTTTTTTTTTTTTTTTTTGTTTCTCCCACATATCAAGTGAACTTTGACTTAGCATTTAATTAATGTTTTACTTTCAATATTCATGATTAAATTAATACTGAAGTTTGATTGAACTATGATCGATAATTTATATCGAACCTAGCAAAGAACTGATTTGAACCGGAAAATTAGATTGAATGAACCCTTGTTCCATAACATTATCTGCACATTGTTAAGTAAATATCTATTAAATCTAATTTCTTAGTTTTTTTTATTTAGCAAAAATGCAAAAAAAACGAGATCTTGTACCTGCTACAATAGGGTATCGAACCCGAGACACTGTCTACCTTAACCAAATGCCCTACCCACTTGACTACCTACACGATTATTGAGAAGTTAATTTTATAACTATATAAGTTATAAAGTAAATTTCAAAATATTATAATATATGTACTTAGAGACATCTCAAAATTGCGGACTTTTTTAATAACAAGAACTTTAACAACCACTGAATAGTGCACAGTTCAAACCTGTACCAGGTGGAAGATGGAGGGTGTATGTGTGTGTGTGTGTGTATGTATAGGGAGAGTGCCCTCCCGGTTTTTTGTTTTATCGTTATTTCGTTGTATTTTATCGTTCAACAAAATATAGGAACTTATTTAAAAATAATTAGTGCCCCTCCCCCTAAAAAAAAAAATTCTATATTATAATACTATATATTACTGAATATATTACTCTATATTACAATGTAATGACCAAATACAATAATAATACAAATGTTGAATTTAATTGCCAACTACCAGACAAATTATATGTTTTTAGTTTATGTTATTTTATGTATGGAGGTGATAAGTAAATCTCGGTCGACCTGCTATAGTGGTCGTGGCGTACCTTTAATCGTTATAATATTTGTGTTAATATTTATATTAATACATTTTTCAGATTTTACGATTTTTGAGATTTATAATCAATCAGTCGTTAGTAACAATTGGGTCTGTTCTCGAAAACTCTAATATTGCTATAATCATATAGATTGTTTATACGCTGCGAGCATACATTTGGATAACCTGATAATAATAAATGTTAGGTTCCTAGGTAGAAAACAAATATCCATAATATTATACATTATCATTAAATGCGTCTATGGTATAATATCACATAGAAATATAGAAATAATTTTGAAACTTATTATAATTATTTAGATTTTTACAATATTAATAAGATCATATTTTATTAAGTATTAAGTAAATACTTAAATCAGTGTCGGCCCTAGAGGGGGGGGGCAAGCGGTGGGGCTGCAACGAACCCCACAAATGATGTATTCCGAATATCACTTTATTTATAAATTATTATTAATAATATTGTCCCAATAGTAAAGAAATTTCAATACATGTGCCATGTGGCCGAGTGGTTTTCTTAGAACACGGGTTGTTATCGACAAAATTCATGATGGTACTTATTATACATAGCTAATACAAATATTAATTTAATTTATTAATTTATAAGATATAATTGTATAAATATATATATATATATATATGGTGTCCCACAAAATTCTGCACTGCGTCCCGAAATCTATCAAGTCGGAACTGTGGTAAAAATTTTACTATACAGCATTCGGTAACTGTTTTGTATTTTTAAACGTTTATAGTTCTTGAAATTAAAGCGCTCAGTAGAAGATTATGAAGTTTACAGTGACGGTTCACCAGAAATTGCCCACTCTACTAACGATTTTTCCGTCACCCGAAAGTCACGAAATATTATTATTAGTTTATTTACAAGTCGTAATTATTGTTCCTGAGTTGTGAATTATTTAAGACGGGTAAAATGCTTGAAAAAAAAAAAACAAATTAACATAATTTTTTACTTAACGTGGCGCAAAGTTGACATTTAAACCTCAGACGTATTTTTTACCCTATACAAAAACAAAAATAAAGGGTGAAATGGGATTTTTAACGATTCAAAAACAAATACCATAAAAAAAAAGGATCGATACCTGGGACGGGTGTGTCACTGCTGTAGGTGTGAAGTAGGGAAGGTAGAATACGTGAAGTATAATGTATACTGTACGCAACGATAAACCATTGCTAATGAAATACAATTCTGAGCGAAGTTTTGAAATGCAGTAATTTTACAACTTTTGTTAAAATTTGAACTTAAAACACTTAAAAAAAAATGTATATTACTCCTAAGTGTAATTTATAATAAACTACGTATAAAAAATTCAAGTATTTCTGTTTGAGCAAAAAATTTTATCTGCATCGTGCCTACCAAATGGCATTAAAAAAAAAACTCAAAAATATCAAATGTCTTAAATAGCTAAATAAAGCTCATTTAGTTGGTCTAGAGCCACTAGAGCGACTAGTGAGCTACTAGATATGTCCAAAAACAGTCTCGTTCAAAACGATTTCACGTATTAAAAATTTTAGATTCTGAGATTCAGTAGTATTGGTTTCGCTGTAAAAGTGTGTTTTTTAAATTTTAAATTGAATCTGTCTGTCAACCATTTTCTACCAGAAATTCTGTTTCAATCAAAAACCGACAAATTAGGAGCTCTCTTAAAGCACTTAGATTTAATCTAATTTATATTTTGAAGAGGATACTGTATTTTGTATTACAATAATTAATTTTTTTCTTAGTTAAACTACTACGAGAGAACTTAATTGGATAAGAAAATATTGGATATTCCAAAATTTACTATGAACAGTTTAACTTGTGTACCTATACTATTAGACCACGGTACCTATTAATGTGTAGTTTGTATATATACTTAATAATAATTATTTTTCATCATATAAATTTAATTTGTTAAAAAATCGTTTTACAGACAATTTTTTTCAGTACGAGCAAAAGTTCTGGCTAAGCACATTGCCGACCGTTGCCGGTGACCGAACGGGATTGTCATCGAGCTATTTTGCGGAGCCGGAGCGATGACAATGTATTTCAAGTGGCCAATTGTCCAAAGGATACCTACATAATGTAATACAATGGTTCTCAAACTGTGGTAAGCGGTAGGCAACATAGGGGTACGCAAAAGGCCGCATGATAACAGTACAGAAAATAAATTATTCAATATTCGTACAAATGTTTCTTAATGGATCTAATATTATATTTTAGTATTTTACTGTCTTACACTCTTATGGTTTTTAAATAAATGTAAATACACTATGAATTGTTCAATTTTTAGTTTTACGTGGTACATGACAGATCCATAATATATATATATAAATGGTACGCGAAATTAAAAGTTTGAGAACCTCTAATCTATTATAAATAAATAATATATTACACAGAAAAAATGTAAAATAATTAAATTTTAAGTTAAATTTAACAGTTTTCTTTTAAATTTTTTTTGGTCTTCATAAATTCTCAAGAAAACCTCTTGAAAAATTAAAAAATTATCTCCTATAAATATACAAACTTGAACCAAAATCTAGTAAAAAAAGTCTTTTCATTTTTGATCGAATCAAATTTTCTGATAGAAATTTTGTTAATATATATATAAAAAAAAAATTTTAAAAACTCATTGTGATATGAGTTTTTACTGTAGTAAATACAAAATATTCCTTGCTCCGCTCACAATCTAAAGAAATAACGTTATTTTTTATGACGGTGGTTTTGAGTTCAAGTTTTTGAATAATGTATGATAGAAAATAATATTTTTAACGTTTTTTTTTGAATTGAAAAAAGTACTTCCATCTTGATATGACAAATTGGCGAACCCAAATCATTTGGTGAGGAAATTCAGTTTATCTACTTAATATATTACAGTGATATTTATATCCCGACGTTAAAGTAAATGTTTCGAAAATTAGATAGATACGTAAATTTACAGCACTGTGTCGGTTCTAAATGATTTCTGGGTACGAGACGTATTCCCGTTTTTTTTTTGTTTTTTTTTTTTACTGGTGTGTTTGAATTGTATTTTTACATTATATAACCGCCGTCGGCAAAACTGCAATAGCTCATGTTTTTCATCTAATTTTCCACCATCATCAGTATATCTATATACTTACGTACTGCCACTTCTGCGACCATTACAGTATACGGAGAAACAACAACTAAAAATATCATATTATATTTCACACGAATGTTATGCCGAAAATACATTTATCACTTTAAAAAAAAACAATATAAAAAAAATTATTTTCTTTTTACAATTAAATTATATGGCCAAATAAAATTTTAAAAAATAACTCGGGACCTCTTGGACCACTTACATTTCGTACATAATAAATGTATGTCATTAAAAGTGCCTAAATATAATTAAAATCAAATATATATTTTAAATACTAACTATATAGTTTTTAAAATTGATTTTCGTATTTTAAATTGCATTGCATTATTATGTTGAAAGTAGAATATACTTGTATTGGTATTGGAGCGGTGCAACAAAAAACCGAACATGACCGACTATGTCGGATAAAATGTAAAAAAAAAAAACAAATTAATATTGCCGAAGGGCTGTTGTAGGAAGGACCGTAGCAATTAAATATGGTACCCGGTGCGAAACTTCAAAATGTGCCCTTATGAACCCTAATTTATAATGAATTAACGAATTTTACAAACTAAATTCTAATTAGTGTCATAATTATCTTACTATTGGATGCTAAATTGGACCTAAATTTCAAATTGTTAATTAATTTCTTTTTACGTGATATATATATATATAGGTTTTAAGGGAATTTGTCCACGCTTCCGGGTATTGCGCCTGGGTTGTAGGTACCGCTGGCCCCACCTTGTTAAGACCCAGGTTATAGATTGGATGTTGGGAAGATAGAGTATATAAACTTATTTAATTTATATCTGTATTCAACGATAAACCATTGCTAACGAAATACGATTTGAAACGAAATTCAGTTCTACACATTTTGAAATATTATACAATTTGATTTTAAAACGCTTATAAAAAAAAAAATTACTATATTAGGCTTAATTATTAGCTTTAAAATATATTAGTTTTTTCTAACATTAAGTACAACTTATAATAAACGTTGTGTTAAATTTTCAAGTATTTCAGTTAAGTCCAACAACTATGTATAATAAATAAAAACTAAAAATAATACGTGTTTACCCAGCTTTGTCTATTTATTAAAAAAACTGCACGAAACACCAAAAAACGATTTTCTTAGATACCAACTAGATCCAAAATGCTACAAAAAAGATCACTTGTTATCTTTTGATTAGTCCAAGATTTCTGGTAAAAAATATAAATCATAAACATTTAAAATTGTTATTGTATTGTTATTATTTTTGATTGGGGCAAGATTTCTGGTAGACGAGTTATTCACAGAGGAAAAAAAAGCACATACCATTGTTAAACCAATACGTTCATCACTCCGTTTAAAATCTAAAAAGTATTCGAATGTATAGAATAATTATTCTTATAAAGAGTACCTGAATTCTTTTTTTTTTTTATAAGTACAAGTTTACAAGTACGTAATAATATAATAGATATTGTAAATATTATGGTTGAGAAAAATATAAAATATGTTTAATAAAACAGGAAGGCCTCTTATCTTATATTATTTTAGATAATTATTGAGACACATACGTTACTAACATTACGATGTAATAACATATACGCTAAAGATCTACTTACTAAATCCCGATTGAATTATTCAAACGACTTATTTATTTTTAAATCGTCCAATGTTCCGCAGACTTTTAGTTTCAAAGTTCAAATATTTACCGGTAATTGGTAATGGTGTTTTACTATCAGAGTCCCATTTGAGGTGTCTATACGTTTTTGTGTAGGAACTAGATATTGTGTTATATTTACTTACCTGAAACAAATAATTTCATATCACATTAGTATAATTATCAGTCTACGGATTTATCTAGATAAATTATTTAGACGACTAGTTACTTATCTTTTATCTTATCTATATATATATATATATATATATATATATATATATATATATGTACATGTTTTGTTATGCAAAATATTAAATAATTCTAACTATTACAATTATTGTCCAAACGAAAATGTTTTAATTTTCTAATATATAGTATATATTTTTAAATTCTTCAAAATAATACCTAATGAAATAATTACTTTTATTACACATGACTATGAGGCCCAAGTCACTTCTCTCATTTGTATTAGATTTGTTCACTTGTTGTCAATATTTCGAAGTAGTGTCACCGAAATTCGTAACATTTCTTTCCTAAATATTATATTATATATTTTTAAAAATTTCCGGAAGTTTGAATTTTTGTTGATTTGAATTTACGTATATTCGTAATATTTTTGAAAAATTATTTCATTGTTTTGAGTTTTTATGTCATAATTTTGTTTTTGCTATAACTAAAGCGTCCAAGTATAGACATTTTGTAAATCAATGATTGTTTACGATCATTCTTTAAAAATGGAGATGACCAAAAAATTCTGTTTTCGAAAAAAAAATAAAAATATGACTAGAGCCTTATAATAAATTTGTGTCAAATAGAATGAAAATACGTGATTGATGAATTATTTAGTTCCTTACTTCTATCACTCTTTGTAACTTACAACAGTAACTTTTCAATTTTAATTTTATAATTTGTAATTCTGTTTACGAATAAAAAATGTTCCATTATAATAACTCATAATGTATAAAATTAGTTTTATATACCTACATACTTCTAAAACGATTGATATACGCAATTAAGTACCTATTAACATTTTATTCGAACGACATGATGGACAGATTTAGTATTTATGTAGCACAGTGATAAATTATCACTGATAGTATATGAAAAAAAAATGGTAAATATTGTCTTGTTTTCTTTGGATATTGTTACATAATAATATTATAAGAAGTTGTTTTTGCGTTATGCCGAGGAAAAGAGAGAAGAAAATTATCTTTTTATATTTACAATGTATCCGTTTCGAAAAATCCGTATTTCTACTCGTAATATCGGCTTGCAATCTCTTTTGTTTAGAAGAGTGTTGTTAACAAAAAAAAAAGTCTATGGCGTTCGATGCAATATTATCGAAAATGCGTAATATAGATACATAAAAAAATTATAGATAACCGGCTGTATGATGGAGTCCCATAAAAGAAATGATTTTTGGCAACCGTAATACTATAAGAGGACAAATTGTATTGATCAACCAATGATGGTACCTATAAAGTACAAACTTATTGATAGAAACAAAAATGTCAAATATTTTTCAACACTATCACACATTAATTGTTATCACATCATTTTTGGGCGAAAACAAAATATGTTTTATAGGTTCATCAATGCAATTCGTCCTCTTGTATATGCAGTTGTCTTGAGGCTTCCCATTTCCTCATAGAGCCGGTCATCTAGTCGTTTTATATAGCCTATATGATATGATACAAAGTGATTATTTTATCACGAAATGGCGGTCATTATATATACTCGTTAAGTACATACATGGTAACGACGGTATCCGTTTTTGATTTTCAAATAGCAACTCATAATTTGTCGTCTCATAAAATATAAACATTATCATAAATAAGCACCGCCAATATCAGATGGAATATGATTATAACCGCCGAGGAATGCACGTGCAAAACGAGACGTTGAGACAGTTTGAGAAGCACGCACGCGAAAGTAACGAGAACTTTGAAGCGGCGGGATTACGCGCAAAATTAATGTATCCATCAAAATTAATGCGCTTCTTTTATATTCATCACGGTTTCCTGGAAATTAATGAACGGGTGGTGTATGCTATTATGTACAAGATAACGAACGGATACCGCTGATGCGTATAATTGTGAAGAAATCGTTTTGAAGTATTGTGTCGGTGCGTTCCGAGCTACGACGACAAGTCGAAAAGTTTATCTTACGAATGTTCAAAAGCCAACCAAAATAGTATTATTATAATATAGATAAGAGTAAAGTTTATTAAAAAAAATGATAACCAGCATCCGCACTAGAAAACTTCAGTTGGAAAAACCGATATCCGCAAAATTATAATTAAACATTTGAATAAAGGCGGTATCCAATGACATTATGTGTCTTTCGCCGTATTCTGATTGGCTTTTGTTATCTTTTCGTAAAATTCAATAACCAAGACTTACCGGGAAATTTCCAAAGTCGGACTGAACTAATTTTCGTATATAATTCTAGTTTACAATGATACAATGGTCAGTTGATTTTTTTTGT